TTCTCTTGCTATGCCTGTGCAAGAGTCAGCTCTTGGGGCCCCTGCTTTCTGCTGACAGAAAGCTTTCTGCTGACAGGGATCTGCATTCCAACAGCTGAACCTCGGGGCATTCTGGGAACTCGAAGGGTCCTCTCCTCCCACGATACCCTGGAGTTTTCTGAAGGAACTGATAGGCTTTTGCACCACCCCAGGCAGGGCTTCTGAGGGGCTTCCCGCAGATGAGGAAGTCGCCAACCCACAGATGTGGCTCCCAGCCCTATGAGGAAACAGACCCACGGACAGACTCGGGGTCCTCACCAGAGGTCAGGGCTTCTGTCTTCTCCTCTTCTTGAGAATCCTTCCCAACCCAGACAAAGACCTGGCGGTGAGAGGGAAACAGACCGGGTATGAGGTATGCTTACTTACCGCAGTGCTGGAGGGAGAGGCGGGGGTCCCTGTGCTGGGCTGGGTGAAGCCCTCAGGTGACAGAGCCCACAGATCATGTCTGGGGTCATTTGGAAGAGAGGCTGCAAACAGGTGACCCGCAGACACCTTTGATTTGCCCACCTGCCCACCGACATTGGCTCGTAATGTCCTTGAAAACCCATTCCGTTGCCAACGGATTCTTTCGAACTTTTTTTGAAAACCTGGAAGGATCTGACAGCTCTGGGCCTTCCGCTTCACTCGGACAAAACTGACCAGTAGCTGCCTCTTTAGGGGTCTTCCCGTTTCCCCTGCTTCACTCTTGGACATGGCCAATGACAGGTGCTGCCATGAGACGCTGAGCGTGAGATGCCTCTCCAGAGGTTCATAGGCTATTATCCCTTTAAGGGCATGTCTCTGGCCAAACAAGTGAGCCCAGCAGAGGCTTCCTTGTTGAATCATTCGACCGAGACACATCAGGAGCCTACTCTGTGTGTCTTGGCCAACGTGGGTTTGAGCCTTGGCACCAAAACTCCAACTCGCCCCGCCGCCACCACGACCCTGTTGAGCCGTCTGACAAGTTTTCTGACAGAAACCAATCTAGGAAGCAGATTTCTCTGTATCACCTATCTTTACGGAGATACAAACTACAACTTTAAAGAGCACCTGTCACGGATGATGTGGTGTTAAAACATAAGCTGGGGCTTTATTGCTTCCATTTATTTGCAACTGTGTTCCTAGGACACAGGAAGCCTTCAAGGGGGTTCCTGCCTCTATTGCTCAGCACAGGATGCCTAGCATTCCCCACTCAGCCCGCGGGGCAGTGGGACGACCTGAAGGTTTGGTGAGTGGAGAGTAAATGAGTGAGCCGATGGCTCAGTCCATGGCAAAGCCGAATGGCTCTGGCTGCCCACAGGTGGGCACTGTTTGTTCTCTGGGTGTCCCAACAAACAGTACTGTGGGCCGAGGGGCCTCTTACGGTTGGTCTGAGACCCCAAGCGTCCATATATACATATAGGTGCCATCTATAACCCTGACAACTCTAGGAGAAGCGACCTCGATGGGAAGGGGTTATGACGGCCAATTCTAGGAGAACGCAGGCCCTGGGAGGGAATGGGGAAAATCAACTGTATGTGCTGCTTAAAAAACCAGGCTGGGCATACAGCAGGAGCTCAGTGACTATTTGTGGAATGAATGCATGAAGGGTAGGTACTTCCTTGGTCAAGTCCATAGGTTCTCTCCTTAGGAGCTAAAGCAGAGTGCCCAGAGCCTCCAAGACCTCCAGGTGG